TTCATCTTTCGCGAAGGTGAAAGAGGAAGGGGCCCAAGTCCCCCACCAACTTCGCCTTGGTACCTGTTCTCTCTTCGCCCGACCATTAATCGTACAATTCTTAACCAGCTCACTGCGGAATTTACAGTTTAATTCTTAATTTATTAACTGAATTTAATTTATTCATTATTTACAGTTTCATTCTTAATTTATTAATTGAATTTAATTTATTTATTATTTACAGTTTAATTCTTAATTTATTAATTGAATTTAATTAATTTATTATTTACAGTTTCTAATTCTTAATCTATTAATTAAATTAAATTTATTTATTATTTACAGTTCTTAATTTATTAATTGAATTTAATTCATTTATTATTTACAGTTTAATTCTTAATTTATTAATTAAATTTAATTAATTTATTATTTACAGCTTAATTCTTAATTTATTAATTAAATTTAATTAATTTATTATTTACAGTTCAATTTTTAACTTATTCTTCTTCTTCCTAAAGAAAACACACCACCAAATGACATTTTTTATTACTTCCTGTTGAAATTTCGAGTTTTCAAAGTAAATGGTAAATTCTTTTTATTTTACACGACGAGTATGGTTACCAAGTAGATCGAGTAGATTAGGATCCCAGATCAGAAACGACTCCAATTTTTTTTCACTACATGCAACGATACTTCTAAGCGTGCTTGGACTTAAATGGATTTAAACGAAACTATCCCATTGAAGTTTCATTTCACACTCACTCGAGTGTTGCTGAACATTGAACATTGATGGGATCGAATCTTTTGAGGCACGATTTCTCTGTAAACGTCAGCCAAAACTGGCTTTCTGTCAGAGAGTTCCCGATCCGGGGAGAAATTCTCGATTTGCTTTGTTTTTCTATATTTTCAAATGTTGCGCTCGAGCCCGCCTCAATGCAGCGTTTCTCTAACGCGCATGCGACTGATGCGCACTCGTTCAACGCGCATGCAAATGATGCGCACTCGTTCAACGCGCACGCGTCTGACGCTCATGAGAAATCTCATCTTTATACAGATATAATATTCTATTTTTCTTTTTTTTTTTTTAAATATTGTATTCATTGTAATCGGACAGATTTTATCTTTTTGATTATATTTCCCAAAGTATAAATTTGTCCAAGGAAAACAATGAGTTCTAGTTTAATTACATCCTCAGAATTATATTTTTTAACTACATTCTCAAATTCGCAATCTGGTTATAACATTTGAAAACAAATATAAATTCTACCTTTCTACCTCATTTGATTTTGTTTTTGAAATTGTCTTTGGAAGAATATGAAATTGCACCAAGATCTGCAATCTAGTGATCAAACTCACTTCTATGCTCTCTATTAACAATTTAAACAAATATATCTAATATTTGCTTATTGCTAGTAACTAAATATCTAATATTTCTGATATGTGTTCAATTTCAAATTTAAATGTGATTGTATTTCCATGTTTATTACTATATACAGTTATGGACAAAATTGAATGGACAGGTAATGGAAATAGATAGATAGATGAATTAAGTTTAGCCAAAGTGGTACTGTTATTACGTACTTAAGTTTTATATATTATATATCTTATATGGTACATAGATTATTTAGCGAATGATTGAAGTTAATATTTACATTGGTGTTGAAACAAGATATTAGCAGATTGTCGAGGGACAAAAATAAATGGACACTCGTTTGTTTCGTTACTCCAAGGCAAACAACGTAAACATACTAAATATTAATTTTATTTTTCTCATATATTTTATTACATGTCCACTTATCTTTGTCCCTCGAGAATCAGCCAAGTTTTTCTTTAAGTATATCTTATTTCAATACAAATGTAAATATTAATTTCAATCATTCGCTAAATAATCTATGTAACATAAAGATATATAATATATAAAATTTAGGTACATAATAATAGTACCACTTTGGCTAAACTTAATTCATATCTATTTCCATTACCTGTCCACTCAATTTTGTCCATAACTCTCTCTCTATATATATATGTATATATTTCGTGCATGAAGCAAACAAATTGTTGACTCCACTATTACTCGATAAGTCGATTGTACTATTTTCCTTTCTCCGGTTTCTCGCGTCACGCAACATTGCATAAGTAGATAAGAATTCGACCGACATTGAACAATCATGGAAGAACAATGTTCCATAATTAAATATATTTTTCTTTATTTTTAATACTTGACAAGTGCTTTTAATTTCACCGTGACCGATTCAGCGTACGATTATATACTAAAGGATATCTCTCGATGATAAAAAAAAAAAAAAAGTGGATTGAGCATAAAGGAAAAAAGTATAAGCCAAGGATCTCGTTGGATGAGGATGACGGAACGGAATCTTCGATAGTTCGTTGACCCCAGCTCTTGGCAGCGTATAAAAGTATAAATGAAAAGTATCTACCAGCCAGGAAGAACTTCTTTAATTACATAAAATTGTTATTGCAAAATTGATAGCATCAGCGGTGAGTGAAAGCGAGTTACGCTTGTGTAACTATATATTTCTTATTTTTTTTTCACTGTATAAAAATAATTTCAAACAGGAGAACACTCGTTTCTCACTTATAGAAAGTTGTTGCTAGATTCAAGGAAGAAAATATGAAGTTTCACTATGATTTTATTTTGATTGAAACTAAATTACAGTCGCGCACAATAAAAATTAACGAAAGAAACAAAATATCAAATTTCACTATGGAGTTGCTTGAACTAAAGAATTAACTTCGAGGAACAAATTAAAGAATGCAACAAGGATAAACAAATGTAATAAATGTCGCAGGTGGAAAATATTCCACCCAATTTTATACAATATCTAGAAAGTAGATCAACTTTTCTACCAATAACTTTTTTTTATTATATCTTTCTTCTTTTGTAACGAATAACCTGAAAATTTCTGAACTCAACGTTAATTCTACTTCAAGACTGGTCACCAACGATTAAATAATTCCCATGCACCACATAATTCATCTATTTCAAACACTTCAAAAAAGATATATACGTTGCAAATAGAATTTTAAAAAAAATCATACTTGAATTGATTTTCTAAGCAAAATAACCGAGTGAAGATGAAATTAATAATTTTAGATTAAATTCTACGTTATAAATACTTAACACAACAATTATTACCAAATAATGCAGGAAACGTAATAAGGGAGATTGCACGCGTGTTTTCAGTATCCTGAGTGTAAGTATAAAGTTTGATAGAAACGGAATCTACACGGAACCGGTTCGTTCGTTTCTTTCAGTCCGATGAAGTTCTAAATACGGCCCTCTCTCGGCAAACAGGAACTTCAAGGTTAACGGCTGACTATCGTAATAATCCTCGCATAAAATGACCGATCGTTCGAAAATATACTGATATTAAATCAATTAAAAATGTAATTATTTCACTGCAAATATCGATCCGATAAGACCCATTTCCACTGACGTGATTTATTGAATTTGGTTACAGACGAGTTCAATATGGCAGCCGAAACGATGTGTTTCCGGTTGACATTGAAGTACAGACTTAACCGAGAAAGCAGCTTCAATTCTTTAACTATAAATAGAACTTGAATTCTTCAACTATACTAGAACGAGTGACATTTTCGAAATTTTTTAAGCTTTCTACGACTGAATTTCATTTTACTGTTGAAGAAACATACTAGAAATTGTAGATTAGATTGGATTTGGATTTCATCCGAAGATTGAACTTTAAAACTATTTTTCTGCAAAAATTTTGTTCTCACTCGGCCTTTATTACAATTCATGCGTACGAATTTTCATGGCAGGTTTATTTCCATTGAAAATAATTTGAAAAGTATATTTTGGAAATTCTATATGTTCCAGTAAGTCAATTAATCACAAAATTACTCTCAACACAGTTTCATTTGTAATTTCTTCGCGTTGGAAGAACAATCGGTTATCAGTTGCTAAAAAAAAAAAAAAAAAAAAAAAAAAAAGATTCGTGCAACTGTGTACACTGAGATATGATCGTTTAAATGGAAGCACGCGATCGAGTGAAACCTTGCAAACTAAACTTGCAAATCTGTTACTGAAATTCTAACTCTAGTAATTACTTCTAACAAAGGTTTCTGCAATCGTTCATTGACTGGAAGCAATTACACTGGAATTCAGATTACGAGTCAGCGAGTGTCATTGACTTTCACTTTTACCTTATTTATGCAGGTGCAGAGAGATGAAAAAAAAAAGAAAACGAGAAGATACAATACGTTCTTTGCATAATGAAACGTCACACCTGGCTAAAATTAGAACCAACTCGAGCAATCGTGGAAGAATCGAGTCGCGCATTTTCTTATTTGATTTCTAAATAAAGGTCGAAGAAATACGTTCGTTCGGTGAATTTACCGGTGCTTGTGAAACTGAAAAATCAATTCATCGTCGGAAGATGTGACGAATGAACAGTTTTATTCATGTTTAGCAATCTAATAAAATTACATTAGCGTTTAAATATTTCTCGGCAAATAATAATTTTTAACGAATGAACGATTGATCATTGTGCTTTTGTATTTTGCAGCTTTGCAATGACACTACGTTTTTTTGTTAAATGAAAATTCTAAGTTTCTCTTTTACTATCGTCTTAAGGAAGTTTCTTAATAAGGTATGGGAATATTGTTCTGAATTTCGTTCTCGAAATTGATGACGATACGAAAGATAGACGAGCTATCGATGAACTGAAGAGAATGAGAGTTATCACTTTTTTTATATAACATAGTGAAAGCACAACTTGCAATAATTCTACATTTTCAGTGGCGCACTTTAATTCGATAAAACAATACTAGGCAATGAAATAAAATAATAATAAACATATGCAGACAAAATCCAAACGGTAGAATAATCAATTACTAGTAAATAAAATTATTGCTTTAATAAAGTAGTTACGAGTAACGTGGGAACGTGCATGATAAAAGAATTATTATGGAACAACCTAACAACATATTTCGTAATGCACATATATATATATGTATATAAAACAAGCTGAAGGAATAATGGTTGATACAAGCTCTCAGTTATTGTGAGGTTTGTGTATACATAACCAATTATTTTCTTTGCGATTCCAAGTACGTATAAAGCAGGAGTCTTACGTAACTTTATAAAATATAAAAGAGATAAAGCCTTTTAATCTGAAAGAAAAGGAGTTATAAATAACGCGCAGATCTCTCAGTGTGTTTCTTCGACAAACGTTGCTGCTTTCAAAATATCTGCGATATTCCTTACGTAAGATACTTAGTTATTCTCCGTTTCTTCTATTCCCTTGGACAAGAGATCAATAATAAAATGAAACTCAGTTGAAAATTTTGAAGTCAAGCAGTATGAATTATTGTATCTTTCAGTGTCGAATAATAGCATACTGAATATGTACGGAGTGTCCAATTTCAATTTACAAACATGCAATTATCATACTGGATTTTATATTAGATTTAATTAAAGTTGAAGTATCTCCTAAACTGGTAATTTTTCGACGTACATAGATCTTATTATTGATCTTCATATTATCCAAAAAAAAAAAAAAAAAAAAACAAACTAACTGCACTAAATTATTCGAAACAGAACAAATTGTATTTGAAACATTATTTCGAACGCAGTCAGCTTGAAAAGAATTGCATTTAGACAGATTAAAACAAAGCACACAGAATTCTGAGAAAAATTACGCGAAATTTTTACGAAATGATCCAACAATTGGTCAAGAAAAAGATATGAAAAGTGGAGCAGTTTATATTTATTGAATTATTTACAGAGAACTAGCAAACGAATGCGGTAACACGACCGAGGTCGATCGACTAAAAAATGGTGCACTGTTCGGAAAGAATCGCGTTCGAACGAAATTCGAGCGCGGATTAAAATTGATCCGAGCCTCTCTGACACACGAGAATCAAGCACGAATAACTGTACAAAGCACTTTTTCACCTGGCGATATTGCATCGCAACCAGAAAGAAAGACCGCGCGACGCGATTTCCGCGAACACGACACCATGGTCGACATCATCCCAACTCTTGCGACTTTCTCCTGTGTATCGTGTTCTTAATAAAGATTTCTCGCTTGTACAAGATGAAATGAGCTTATAAAAATTCTTCTCCCTGTTTTTCAATGAAAAAGGAAAATTTTTCTTCCCATTTTTCAATAAAAAATATTCTCCACGTGTGTATGTATGTATATGTATATATTATATAATAATTATATGTATATAATTTATAATAATTATAAATATATAAATATATAATGTACTTAATATACTAAGAATATTAAGATATACAATACATTATATATATATATATAATATATAATATACTTAATATTCTAATAATAAGTACATTATATATATTTATAATAATTATAATATATATAATTTATAATAAATATATATATTTATAATAATTACAATATATATAATTTATAATAATTATATATATATATTTATATTTAATATTTTAAGTATATTAAGTAAATTATATATATATATATATAATGTATTGTATATCTTAATATTTTTAATACTTTTGGTGAAATTCACATCAATTCCATTCACTGAAATTTAACATAAATATTACATGTTGCACAAAATAAAATGTCCAAACGGTTATGTTAACATTTCGTTCAAAAATAAAAACACAGCAAATTGTTAAATAAGACGACAAAATTGGTACTCGATTGTTTCGTCAATATTTCGTTGAATATCAAATAAAATTTCGTTAAACATATAAAATATAGAACTTGATACTCGTTGAATATCCCTAAACAAAAATATAAAAATCGGTACTCGGTTAATTATTTCTTCAATAAAATATACAAAACTGATACTCGTCAAATGTTCTTAAATGAAACACAAAACTTGGTACTCGTTTGTTTGCGCAATAGGAGTTCGTCGCCCGACTGATTCGCGGAAAACTGCAGGCGTTTCGCGTAAATCATTCGACGCGATACTTCCGCTTCTGAGCGGTTTATGCGGTGAAATATTTGTATTGAAAATAGGGTGATCGTTAATGCGAGCACGTGAAAGATAAAGGCGTGGGTCTTGTTAATATTTGACGTAGATCGCGAAAATAGGTATTCCGCGAAAATCCTATAATTTCTATAAACCCGCGGGGATTAGTTTCACCATCGGGGATTCGCCGTGCATCGGACAGCTCGTGAATCTTTCACGATGCTAAGAGTGAATAATTAAGGAACGAAATGGATTCACAATACGATGTATATTCCTATATTCCTTATTCCGGTTTCTGGTGTCCTTGATATCAATTTTTTTAAAATTATTCCGGTGAAAAATCAAATTTGAAATGTTAAATATTAAAATGTATGTATATATATATATATATATATATATATATATATATGCTGTTATGAAATTCTTTTTGAATAAAAAATGTGTGCATTACGTAAAATATTTGTAAATCACGTTAACCAATTGAGTACCAAGCAGTGCTTTATCATAAAATTAAAATTACAGGTACTAAAAAGAATATTACGCGAAACCCGAGAATTTTTATTGATAGATTCAATGTTCAAAATAGAATTTGATAGTCAAAAGCCAGTCGACTGGAAAATGAAATACTACATTAACACAATATTGGACCTAGAACAAGTAGAATATTTCTAGTATATGTCATGCTAATATAATCCTCTTTTATATATCTTCTCTATAATGATCCTAATTCCTGCTGTTTACCTGAGATATTATATTATAATATTTCTAATGATATTTTTGCTGTACGTTTATCTGAGATATTTTTAATACTAACTCTAACTTTATAACATTCAGGATAGTTTTAAAACTTAACAGTAGTATTTAATAAATATATACTATAATATCTAGGACTAAATACATAGTTTGAAAGTATAAAACAATATAAAAATAAATCATATTTTTCATATATTATTGAAAATATTTTTCATGCATTTAAAACTATTAAATTAAGGAAAGTAATACTTCCTTTTTGTTTCAAATTTATTCAACAGATTAAAAATTACTTAAAACTGAAATAAAAATTGGGAGTCATTCAAACTAGTAGAAAATTATTAGTTATAAAGAAATGTAGTCGTCACACGTTAACCCACTGAGTGCTACCAAGCAGTGCTTTATCATAAAATTAAAATTACAGGTACTAAAAAGAATATTACGCGAAACCCTAGAATTTTTATTGATAGATTCAATGTCCAAAATAGAATTTGATAGTCAAAAGCCAGTCGACTGGAAAATGAAATACTACATTAACACAATATTGGACCTAGAACAAGTAGAATATTTCTAGTACATATCATACTGCTAATATGATTCTCTTTTATCTATCTTCTTTATAATGATCCTAATTTCTGCTGTTTACCTGAGATATTATATTATAATATTTCTAATGATATTTTTGTTGTACGTTTATCTGAGATATTTTTAATACTAACTTTATAACATTCAGGATAGTTTTAAAACTTAACAGTAGTATTTAATAAATATATACTATAATATCTAGAACTAAATACATAGTTTGAAAGTATAAAACAACATAAAAATAAATCATATTTTTCATATATTATTGAAAATATTTTTCATGGATTTAAAACTATTAAATTAAGGAAAGTAATACTTCCTTTTTGTTTCAAATTTATTCAACAGATTAAAAATTACTTAAAACTGAAATAAAAATTGAGAGTCATTCAAACTAGTGGAAAATTATTAATTATAAAAAAAAGTAGTCGTCACACTGAAAATATTTATGCAATCTTGTACTTCTTATCATTATTATGCAATTTTCTATTCTATTCTATCATTTTATATAAATCCTAATGTATTTTTATATTTGTCCACAAGTTCCCGAAAATATTAAACCTACAATTTTGCAAAGATGAAAAAATAACTTGTGCCAAATGTTGACTAAAAGGGACTAAAAGACATGAATCTCATGAAATTCTCACATTTCATCAGCGAGGACACGCGTTGAACATTAAAAAGGATATAACTATATTACGGGCAAGTGTGATTGATAATTTTTGCGATAAAAAGCTACGTTAATGAGGATGATATTACTGCACGGGTGACACACGATATTAGTGACGACCTTTGCCTATCATCACTTAAATATCATTACCTTTTATAACCTCCTACTTATAATATATAATTACTAAGGGTGAAATGTTACAATCTGCATTGTGTTACGCATATTTCACTCAGCGATGCGAATGGAAACGTGTACTTACTCGTTAAACAATGTTGATAACAAACGTGAAACACATGAGCAAGAAGAGACGTGCAAGTTCAATATCGTTCAAACAGCACGAACGCATTTTTCCAATCAATTTCAATTTTCCCCCGGCAAATGCGTTGGCTAACGGTGGATTTACATAACGGTCGTTCACGTACGAATCAATCACGCGCTCTCGTTTCTAGTCAGAGGCCGCCTCTAAACAAAGGCTGGACAAATTCTAATCACGTTAACGCGATTAACGTGCGCTGCGAGATCAGAACAACGCACACCGATATACGTGTACACGTATATACGTATGTCATGTATTTTCTCGTGTGATCGAAGAGGTTAGGGCAACAATCGCTCGAACGGTGTCCTCGAACGCGTCATCAACATCTCGCGATAAACACGTATCACGCGCACCATGTGTAAACAACAAGAAAAAACAAAAAAAAGAAAAAAAGAAAATGAAAGACCGAGTCACGTAAAACGCGAAATGCTCGGCGTAAAAGTTTTCGAACGCCGATCTCGAGAACGACTAACGTTCAGCGATACTCGGAACGATATTATCGCGCGATTATCGCAGGATCGATCGCGAGATAAGTTGAACGATAAGTTTCCAAGGCGGCGAGATCGTTGGAGAGAGGAAAAAAAAGTAGTTCGCGCTGGTTACACGTTCTAACTGGAAATACTGTGTTATTTACGGTCTGCGTACGCCTCGAGAGCGGAGGATGTTCGTAATTGGCAACGTGTCACGCGGGATACGTGTTCTCACGGGACGAAAATCAGAAACGAGAGAAGGGAAAGAAAAAGAAAACTGGCGTCAATGATCTCACCTGTTGGTACGTTGCTCATTTTGTCGAATCGACGCGTCTACGTGGATGCTCTCTGCCGCTGGCACAACGGTCCACCACTCGCGTATAATCGACGAGGTAGAAGTACGCGCACGTTTTTCCGCGAAAACTTGCCAAGACGAGACCTGCCGTGACGTGTTCACCGCTGTCGAACCGAGATCGATTCCTTCCGAATCACGTCTGAGGAACGGCACCGCGGCCATATTGGAAACAGTCGGCGAGTGGCGCCGCCAAGCGGCCAATCGCGAACCAAGATGCGCGCGAAACCCCGTTTGAATTTCTGGCGACGTTCCCGCGGCTTTTGCGAAAGTAAGTACATAACGCAAAGTCGATGTAATGGTAAAACAGTGCACTGTTGTGTGTCACAGTAATGGCCTCGTAAACGTATACCTGAACAGCTGTTACGGGAAAATTTTCTTCGCACAATGGATAATTTACTGTTTTAAACGCTTACAATTTCATCGTACGTTCGCATCGAACATCCTGTAGCTTCTATACACACGTGTGTTTTCAAGTTTGTTTCAAACTTTGCTAGCGTAATCGTAATGCTCGAGTCTTGTTATAGCATTAATGAAATTTCAAAATAGATTAGGTTATAGGTCACTAATATCTAACACGTGCGTATAGTATGAGACAATCATTGCCTTTAACATTCACTAACGAAATTATAATTTTCAACTTTAATTTCGATTCTTATTTCCGACGAAGTTTTCATTTTTCAAATTATAGTATTTTATATGAAGTTTTTATTTTTCAAATTATAGTATTTTATATAGTATTTTTATATACATTGATTGATTACGTTACTTGATTATTAATTGATTAATACATTACTAATTAATTGATTATTTAACCGTCAATAATACCAAGGGTGTGTATATTTGGAATATAGTCGACGAAAAGTGAGGTCTTTCTTTACAACATTTATTTCTAATAGCTATTTATCTATGTACAGATACGTACATTTGCCTATGCAACATAAATTACAATAATATTCTACAGCCCGTGAGCCCGGTGGTGTAGCTCTAAATAATTATGGCGCTTTTCAGGATATATACTCGTCGTATTTCTCTGTTCTTAATATCTAATACAATGACAATTCGCGCTCATGGTGTATGGATCGGAACGATCGTACAGAAAAGCGTAAAGAACGTTCTTTATTACGCAGAGATCAATTCCTATAAGTGCGTACAATCTATGCGTAATACTGTTTCTTTTATCATTATTATTTTTTCTTTCCATTTCGCGGTAATACTGTTGAGTACTATGTGCTGTGATGTAGAGACTATCTTACCGGTGTGTTCTTTTTTTTTTCAACAACGTTACTTTTCTTCTGCGTCTACGCGACAATGATGGAACAATTGACTTTAGTTCAAAATTAATGTTATCGTTATTAAGTATCACATTTCATTTCAATGTATCATTAGCCGAAGATCTATTAATTCGTCTGCCCCTGTTCATATACATTATACGAACCGCAGACGAGAAATCAAAAGTTTGAAACTATCGTTAGAAATTTGACAAGTTTAACAAAATAGCAACGGCGTAGAAGTTTTTACGGCGACGTGAAAATTTTTGTGAAATTAATTTCAAAAACTTTTACATTGTGTACAACAAGGTTGGGCCTATTATTCGAATAGATGTTTACTCATTTCAGATGATTATTCGAATAAATAAAACTAAATTTTTTGTTCTTGTACCAACAACTCACTTTGTTGCTAATTGTTCTTACACGAACGTATATTATTCTTGCTCGAATAAATTCTGCTTCGATCGAAATATTTATCACCAGCAGGTAAAAATTTTGTTCCTTAGTTCCATTCGAATAAAACTTTGCCCAACTTTATACACACACTCCAAAATTATATTAAAATTCTTCAATGAAATATGCATTGAACAGTATCTTAATTTTAGACATATCGTTATCATCTCTTCTAAAGCTAGGTAGCAATTACACAGCTGGCCAATAATATAATATATACATGTACAAACTACCTCATGTATCACTCTCTCCACAAGGTGTTGCAATCAGTTGAATTTCATTCACAAAACAAGAATGATCGTGAAACATTGTGAATCATGTACTCGATAAATAACACAAGGGAACCAGATGATTAGATTCGAAGGATTTATGAAATACATACATATAATCGCAATACACGTGTACATCTATCAATCGGTGTGACGTATGGCAAAAATGTCTCGTCAAAGTTGCACTCGCGATAATAGGATCCTCTATGAAGCAACACATTTAGATGATTTTTATACGACAAACTCCAAAAAACCCTTGTACACGCTGAAACATGTTACGATGCACGTATCGATACACACTCAGGTTTCGCGAAACCTGCATCAATGATCGATTCTTTTTAGTTTGTCACGCGACATTGAAACAGCGTGCCTGCAAAATTCTTGTCCAAGCACGCTATTAAAAAGTTAAAATTAATAATTCTGCTTGACGTTGAACGAGCTGGCTCTACTTTTCATTATTCTATGAAACTTTGCTCACCAACTAAGTGATCTTGATCTCTTGCATCGGTCACAAGTTATTTTATTGATGCTCGTTAATTGAAAAAAAATCGGCAATTACAAGGTAATGCAAATTATTGGCACGCAATTATTGCGATCGTGGCACGTGTCTCGTGAATGCATGCATCGTAACGTGCCTCAGCAATGTGCAAAAGTCTCAAGACGTGGATGTCAGCTTCTCAGAAGCGATGCACGTATTTTCTTTTTTTTTTTTTTTTTTCTTTAAACTCGTACTGGCCTAAATGTCCACATATATGTGTATCGCGAATCTTTAGCAAACCGCAATCACTAACACGGCCGGACGACAGTTAAACGCTAACGATAAGCCGAGATAAACTCTTATTTATGCACTGGTGAAACTGGCAGAGGACGTGTGAATACGTTATGTACGACTATATATATATATTAGCAATTAGCATGTTTTATCTCTGTGTTGGCACCGTTGAGTATCGAATGATTTGACCTATGCTGTTTCTAAACTTTGAGTCAAGCTATCTCACGCTGTTTCAAAGAATTCAATTCTGTATACGATGGTTAATCAGTTGATCATACGCGTAGGGAAGAATTTTTATTGAAGAAAAAAAAAAAAAAGGAAGCAATAATTTTCCTCCTGCCTTTCGAACGATCTCTTTTCATTTAATTAAAAGATTAATATATAAAATTCAAGAATTCCCACTTCTGTGAAACTTCACTTTCTCAAATTTAATATCAGTACGACTTTCATCTGTAGATATTTCATCGTGGCGTTTTTTTAATTGCGATGTGAAACGATGAGTCTCTCTCAGAAACTGATTCTCCTCATTACGAGAAGACAGATTTATTAAAAATTGTCGTGTTTCCCTTCATTTCCATTTATGGAGTTTTGGAACGATACAATTAAAATTATTGGAGAACTCGAGAATCATGAATTTATTTATTACCTAAGAAGATAATTAAGAAGAAATATATTGAAGTGAATTTCGCGTAACAGCTTCTGTCTGTGTTTCTCTTCATTTCCATTTATGGAGTTTCGAACGATACAATTAAAATTATTGGAGAACTCGAGAATCATGAATTTATTTATTACCTAAGAAGATAATTAAGAAGAAAAATATATTGAAGTGAATTTCACGTAACAGCTTCTGTAATTGTCGTTTATTTCTGTATATCTATACGAGTTTGAACTATCAAAATCGCTGGTGTTGGTTCTGTTATCTGAACTGTACATTTATCAATTTTGTCTTGACAAATTACTGTAGTACTGAAGATTCGATTATTGGGAAGAGATTCAGCTCAAATTTATAGGATTTGATCAATGAATCTACACGTATGATCAATCGAACGAAACTCAAAAACTTCTGAACAGAGCCAGACAATCTAACACCTAAGAGACGTTAACGAAAGCATATAAGCCAAACGATCTAACGCGAGAACATCAATCTGATTACTGGTTAATTTATTGCTCGTTCGATGCAGTGGTTGAAAAAATCCTTGCCCGGATGCTTGAAACCGACTATTTTCAGCTAACTTGAACATCATCCGTAACAATCCTCCTGAATCGTTAGATATTTAGTTACAAGTGTATGGTACAGTTTCGCTGTATATATGTATTTACAGAAACCTATCGGTGAAAACTAACGTACGTGTCGAAGAAATCCCCGCTTCCTCGTTTAATCCACTTTCGTTATAAAAATAGAGTGTGTCAGAAGTGATCTGGTGGCTACGTGTAATCGTGTGAACACTTCGTTTCGTGTGCTGAGAAAGATACGATCGCTGCGATCTCCCGATGATTTTCTTCTGGGAAAAAAGGATCGAACGGCGATCTCTGCGTGTGTTTCCCCTATTTGCAGTGTGTTTGTAGAAAGGCAACAAAGTTTCGGGAATAATTCCGTATATACAATTCGATATAATAATCGATGAGTAAATTTTCTGAAATACGATTGGGCAATGAAAATGCCAAAAATTATTTTACTGATCGTAAAGTTAATCGTCGAGGTAAATTCATCACTGGATTAATCAGTCGTTTCGTTTATGTGAAACAAACGAGCACGATTGTCTGCGATAAATGATAAAGCTCCAAAGTTAATGACGATCGCAGACGTGCACGTTTTAGAGAATTCGGGTTATCAAAAATAACACAGATAAATTAGTCTGAAGGTAATAACGTTGGCGTGACTTTGTAGAATTTTGCAGAATTACACGTTAAACGAATTAGTCCCGAAACATTATTCTCATGTTTCACACATACATACATACACACACACACACACACACACACACACACACACACATGTAAATATATGCATATCTGTACGTGTCATAAAAAAACTTGCTCTAGATACCGTTCGCCACCAGTATCTAGAGCAAACATCGACTAACGGATGGACTTTCGTGCTTGGACATCCTCGCGCCACCGAAACCACCTAACCGCCCCTTCCGGTTCTCACGAAGAGAGTCAACTCGCGCGTGGAATTTTCTAGACAGGCATCAAGCCCGTGGTTTAACAAAAATGTTCCATCTAGCACCTTTCTCGAATATACAAAATAATTGAACTGCTCCGATGTTTTCATTTATTAAAACGTCTGACGTTTCTCGTGATTTTGATTCGGCTCGAACTCGAAATTGAGAACCGATTGAGAAAAGAAAACGTTCATCGTTACGTTGCAAGTACAAATGAGGCTCCTTTGACTTTAGAAAACTATTGCGCAATTTACATTAGGCGACGGTCATTAGGATTTTTGACGCGATGCAAGAGGAAAGATCAAAATCAAAGTAACAAGAGAAAAGTGGGAACTGGAATTATTAAATCTGTTAAGTTGGGAAACTTGAAAAATTCCCGTTTCTTTTTAAACGTTCGTTTGGACTTCAGATTCCTTTTTAATTGTCTAACATTGCCTAAGACTTAAGATTCCTAAATTCGTCCTAAATTAATAAAATGAATAGTAAGTAGTTATTAATAAATAACTGGTAATACTATATATATAACTATTAATAAATATAATATTATAGTTATTAATATTATTAATAATATTAATAAATAACTATTAATATTATAGTTATTAATGAATAACTAGTAATACTTATTATAGTTATTAATGAATAACTAGTAATACTTAATTATAGTTATTAATGAATAACTACTATATATATAATTATTAATATATAGTTATTAATAAATAAGTATAATATTATAGTTATTAAACTATAATGTTATTAATAATATTAATAAATAACTATTAACATATAGTTATTAATATTATAGTTATTAATAAATAACTATTAACATATAGTTATTAATATTATAGTTATTAATAAATAACTATAATATTATAAATAACTATAATATTATTAATAATATTAATAAATAACTATTAATATATAGTTATTAATATTACAGTTATTAATAAATAACTATAATATAATAGTTATTAATATTATTAATAATATTAATAAATAACTATTAATATATAGTTATTAATATTATAGTTATTAATAAATAACTATAATATTGTAGTTATTAAACTATAATATTATAAATAACTATAATATTATTAATAATATTAATAAACAACTGTTAATATATAGTTATTAATATTATAGTTATTAATAAATAACTAGCAATACTATATATATAACTATTACAAGTTAATAGCTAGTAAAACAAGTGAAACTAGTTAATAACTAGTATACAACTATTACAAAAAATAACTAGTAATACTACAAGTAATAGTTATTAACAAAATTGTAAATTCTACCGATACGGAGTAACAAATAATTGAGAAGAACAGAATCGAATAATCCAGAAAGACTCGAGCAGATTATACACATTTTTCTAGGAAATGTCAAACCCTTTAAATTCAGGGAGGAAAAAATCATACTTTCAGTTTTCGAACGATAGATAGAACACTTTAACTTGAACAAGGGTAGCCATCGACCGCGATTCTGTATGCTTCGAATGGCGCGTTCCTCGATGGTGCTCAAAGATCGAGCACCAGAGCACGTGTTTAATTATCTAAAGAAAAAGAAAAGACTATGCACGTACGACCTGCATACGGAGTTTTTCTACGGAGGCATAAGCATGCTCGTCCGGTTCGATCTATTCGAGGGAAGATCGGACTTTAGAGATTCGATAATTATTCCTCTCTCTCTCTCTGTCTCTCTCTGTGGCGCAGCTAGAGTGACAGAGTTTTTTTTTTTTTTTTTTTTATTGGATCGCATCGAAAGGATCTGTGAATGATCTCGTGTGATCTGGTGCGAGGAAGATACGTCGTCGGTTAGAAGTTTGGAATTGTCAAGCAATTTTTTTTGAGAAAGAGTCAACTTGACTCTGTGAAAAATGAATTGAAGGGCTCGTGACAGAAAACGACCCCAAGTGACATTCTTTTAGACAATAAATATCGCGAGCGTGTAATACCTTTGTAATATCCAAGTTTCTCAAATTATATTTACAAAAATATAAATTTTCATTGAGACGCACAACGTGGTAAAATATTGCAATGTATATCTTGATTTATTGTCGAATGAAACTTATGTTTTTTTTTTTTTTTTTTTTTTTAGTAGTCAGAGAATTGGCGCTGTGAAAAATGACTAATTTCTTTTGATTTATTGTCACGTGAAAATTAATCAGTTCTACGAGAATCTCGCCACTTCTCTCGCGCGATATAATTAATAAATATAATTTTAAGAATAGTATGTATTACAAGAAACAGTTCGTTTAATGGAAGAGAAATTAATGGGCCGTTGATTTATGAATAGTTTAATAACTATAATATTATAGTTATGAAAATTATAAAATTATAATTTTAAACTAAAGTTCGATCCATTCGATCGAAGTTAGAATCCATCGACCTGTCGATAATTGCGATAGAAGAAATTCTGAAATCGGCAGATATCAAAACGCATCAGCCCCTACAATATAATAATGAATATTAATTAAATATCGATAGCATTGGTAACAACATTTATATTGAAATTTTCATTTCAAGTCAAGCAGATCATTCACATTAAATTGTCAAGAGATGCGACTAATTCCAAAACTTTTAACCAGCATCGTACCGTCATCTCACCGTCGTCGAGGATAAACTCGATGTACCTGTGTAAAGCTGCGCGCGTTGTATAAAAGTTTCGCTTCTCGCATCTATTTGTCCTCGAGTCTCGCGTGGTTCCATTTTCGTTGATCGATCGTGCAACTGGAATTGTCGTCTCGATGGCACTGCCACGCCAGGAAAGAAACTGCTGCTCTTTATTCTGAAAAGCTGCGCTTCGTCCTCGAAGGGAATGTTTGTGACACGCGTCATGCTTGCGCGTTTTGTGCCATTTGATTCGCGTACACACTCTCGCTCAAAATTCTTACGATCATTCCCCGTTTTTAATACAACTTTGGTGTAGATTGTGAATCTTCGGTTTGCATACATTTTTTTTTTTTTTTGTTTTTTAGTAAGCTTGCTAAGTATATCAGGTAGCACGAATTTTCACTTTATCGTTAACGAAATATTTAATATTTAGAATGGTACCGTGTCGTGATTTATGCGGCCATTTTGTTGCTGTCAGTTTCTTCTCGGACAGAGATTAGCAATTGCCGAGTTAAAAATTGAAGATTACTTCAAAATGTTATTTGCAATAAATTATTGTTATCGAATACTCGTGGCAACAATAATATAAATGATTCGTCACAGTAATTTCTAAAGAATTGTTACGCATTAACAGATTAATAACGAATCTATATTGACACTGACCGAGGATTTAAAACGAATTGTCACCACGTAATATTTTCTTAATTTTCGACGAAAAAAGGAAAGTATGGTAATTTGATCGTGAAACTTTCGAGCAAGACTGTATAGACAAATCATTGTGAACGTATGCGAATCGACCAACGATGTAAAATTCGAATCGAAGGACAACCACTTTGATTATTATATCGTATATATATCGTACGACTTGTACGTATAGAACATGCAAGCGAATTCCTTCAACTTTTGCCGCGTAATTGATTATTACGCTCGAACTTTCCACGTTTATTAAAAGATTTCTTCCATGTTGCCATAGTTACGATCCCAGTAGCCGCCGTGGTATAACCAGTCCATTTGGTTCGTGTACGGATTCATACCTAATTGGAACCACCTGTGAACCACAGAGAATTTGCATTTGTCGGATAATCAATGCTTTCTATTGGTAGCTCGAGTTTATATAACTATTATAATTATTATTTTTCATAATGTTGTATCGCTCAATTCACGTACCAGTAGATATTTTTGTCGTGTAAAATATATTTTATGATACAACGATCATCGAGATATTCGCGGAACAAAGATAAAGAAGGCTTTGTCGTATTTTATTGTCTCATATGTACGAGCATAAGTGAATTACAAAAACATTCGTGCTCTAGCAATTATCTCTAGATTCGACGAGTTTCTAAAATTTCCATTGTAATGAATTACTGTTTTCTCAAACTCATTTATTACTAGCATTACCAGTGTATTGTACTGTTATTATTATACTCATTATCCTGATTGATAAATGTTGCAGAATGTTGATCCAAATTTTTTTTTTTTTTTTCGATCCATCGTATCGGAGATGAAACATTCACGAAAGCGGAATTACCCTTTGAAATATCCAGAAATTATTTACACAGAACGATCCAATATGAAATGATAATTGCTAGAGCAAAAATCGATCAATTTTACGCGATAAAAATCAGTTCAATTTCCATCATTGCTCTTGTAAATTTTCATTTCCATCAGTTCCACAAGTTCCACAAAATTCTATTAATTCTACATATCATCTAAACTATTCTCGATTGCAGTGAAACACAGAATAACAAAGATTATTGGAAATTAAATTAGGACTTATAAGTTTAGAATTAGTACAGAGAGTGAGAGAAAATTAATTGAAGAAATGACAAGGGCACAATTAAATATCTAATCGTTTATATTTTCCTAGAATTCAATTTCTTTCTCGTGTTTGTCATTTATATTATTTATGTCGCGTTTGTTACCTGGGCGTCCATTCTTCTCCCTTCTTGTGCTTGCGCGCTTTGCGCGTCTCTCTTTGCTTCTCCTCGAGCCTCGTCTTTTCAGCCGCGGCGCCATCTTGATCGCCGTTCTCCAATTTCCTAATATCCGGCCTCAGTCGCGAGTCCGTCGGGCATAGAACCTTTTCCATTTCCGGTGTCAGTTCGTTTAACGACATGGCGAACGTTGTGAACTGGTAATACTGGAAAATCGATCCGGCGAGATGTTAAAATAGCACCGCTGATGCAGATCGAGGGTAGAGTTTCACGTTTCACAGCGAAAGGAAATCAATTCGCTTCGTTCGTTAGATATCACGACTTTGGCACATTACCTCGAATTGTTTGGCACACGCTCAAATTTGCTATATTAATAGATATATTAATTAAAGAAATTCGGAAATTTTAACACGCCAATAATATACACTTTAAGTTTGGCCATTATCGGATTTTGCCCAATTTTTCCATAGATTCAGATTCGCCGTGGAAATGTATAAAAATTGAAAAGAATTAAGCAGAGTAATACGGAAATGTTTGATTTACTTCTGCACTGTTGGTTGGCCTTGGCGAAGCCTCCCAGAGAGTAATCGATCCAGGAATGTCATCGACTGTTGGAGTGTCGTCCGCGTCTATGCTTGCTGATGGATCGTCGATTGCGTCCTTAAAACAATTGTTCAAATTTTGTTTTATAACTACTTGATGTAGAATATAAAATATTTTATTGTAACATGAATGATAATTATATAAAAATGTAAAAAGAAAAGAATGTAAATTTAATAAAATGTAATCTATTAAATTTACATTTACTAAAATATCATATAATTTAATATAATAATATAATATAATATAATAATAAAAATATAAAATTTAATATAATAATATAATATAATATAATAATAAAAATATAAAATTTAATACAATAATATAATATAATATAACAATAAAAATATAAAATTTAATATAATAACATAATATAATATAATAATAAAAATATAAAATTTAATATAATAATAAAAATATAAAATTTAATATAAAATATCATATTATTTATAGTTATTATTATATTATTATTTATAATATTATATTATTAATGTAAAATATTAGCATTCTTTTAAGGAAAAAATTTAAGAAACATTTACGTATATATTGAATCTTAAAATATTATATAAATCTTATGTTACGTTAACTGACACTTGATACATATTACATTTAATATATATATGTATATATTCAATTTAGGTAATTAATAAAATATTAATTAACAATATTGGATAATTTTTAGTATCTGTACAATCAAGGTCACGTATGCACGTGTTAAACTTTTAATTATCATCTTTTGATGATTACATTTCCTCGCAGAGAAAAAACATAAAAAAAATAAAGAAGATATGTTTGCAAAATCGCCTTTTATATTTGTAGAACAGTATCATCTCTTTTTAAAGAACGACACTAGGCAATCACCATTCATAAATAATGTAAAACATTCGCTAGTCCTTTCTTCCACGTCCAGATATTTTTTCCATGAAGGGAACTCGTTGAGGTCGTTGAATATTCAAGGCTTTAATGAATGAAAAGTGTAAAATAGGGGCAACATGTGAACTCCTATATATAAACTGGCTTTTAGAACGATCACTCGAAAGTCGAGTGGATAAGACGATGAATGGAAAGCAGAATTTTCATCCATAATACAATGTAACCAATTGTAATTGCAAGAATTGCAACTCCAAAAGTGGGAAGTGCTTCTGTTCTTTGATTATAGTTGTAGAAAATTCTCATGAAAGAGCAGGAATCATTTCCATTTTTCATTCGTGTATTTTCGAGGATAAAACTTACATTTCACATTACATCTCGTTCTTTCTTTGTTGAAAAAAAAATCAAGGTTCCAGGAAATTTAATTACCTAATTAAATCTTCAATGCGCGAGAGCAATCTTATTAAATTTATTTATATTAATTGATATTATTAATTAATATATTATATTAATTTATTTAATTTATACCTTTATTAAATTTCTTAACAGTTAATCAGTACCACTGAATAACCAAAGTTATAAAAATTTATCCTCACATTGCTCAAGTTTGGCACTTTTGATTCGATCTTGATCTCGTTACTCACAGTCAGAGAAAAAAAAAAAAAAAAAAAAATCAGAAGAAAATACGAAGCAGGTACGAAATAAAATTGAACAACTAGGATTTTTGCGCTACGATGCTGCATGATATCGTTCGTAATTAACGTCTCGAGTACCTGATGAGAGGGTTTGAAAGCTCCAACTTTGAGACTGTGCAATTTCGCGAGGACCTTCTTGTGACCGGGGCTACCCTGCGGGCTCTTTGCCTCGCGTTTCACCTTCTCCAACGCTTCCTCGTACAACGCCGGATCGCACACCTTCATCCTGTCCGTCCATTTCCCATAAAGGAACAGCAGCTTCCTTTTTCTAAAAAAAAAAAAAAAAAGAAGAAGCAGTTCAAGTTGAAATTTTCTAACGTCGATAGAAGAAATTTTCGAACTCGTGTTGATCGTGTATGCAGTACACAGGTGATCCAATCATCGTATATGTGCCAGTGCAAGTTTCTCCAAACTTTGGGAGGGGAAGGCTGACATAGTTCATTCATTTTCAAAACTACATGGCATTTGAAACTTTCGTAAAATAAAATACAGTGGGTAGTTTAAATAAACGATGTTAGAACTTCGGTTTCACAACTTCTGAAATGGACGTTTGGAAATTAATAATGCACGATAATTTGACTGTATCTGCGTGTAGTGGTAATTTCTAACGTTATTCTGACGACTCTTGGAAGTCTTGGAAATTCAGAAGACTTTAATAGGTGATGAATAAACTACAGAGCTCTATGCGTTTGTGCGAAATTGAAAAATTCAATAAACAATAATAATAATGAATAATGATAAAATAATATATAATAATAAAAATAACAAATAATAATAAAATTCAATGTCAATAACAATATGTTCAATAATAATAAAATTCAATACCAATAATAATATGTTCAGTAATAATAAAATTCAATACCAATAACAATATGTTCAGTAATAATAAAATTCAATACCAATAATAATATGTTCAGTAATAATAAAATTCAATACCAATAACAATATGTTCAGTAATAATAAAATTCAATACCAATAACAATATGTTTAGTAATAATAAAATTCAATACCAATAATAATATGTTCAATAATAATAAAATTCAATACCAATAATAATATGTTCAATAATAAT